CCTGCTTGTGTTCCCTCTCTCACGCTCTCTCTGTCAAATAAGTAAATAAAATCTTTAAAAAAAAAACAACAACAAAACACCCTAGACTTAGAAACTCAGGTGGCAACCCTCTCAGGGTCCATTCTCTCCTTTGGGACCTCTACCATTCAATATACTCTACTATCGCTCAATAAAACCACCACTGTCTGGTCTGCGTCTTCATTCTAAGAAGCGGTGCGACCAAGAACCTGGGGCACCGTAGGAAAAGAAATCCTGTAACACTTTCAGCTATAAGATGTATAAGGTCTGAGGGTCTGTTGTAAAACATAGTGATTATAGTTGATAACATTGTGTTGTATAATTGAAATTTGCTAAGAGAGTAGAACTCAAATGTTCTTACCAAAAATAAAAAAGATAAATATGTGAGGTGACAGATATGTTAATTAACACATTAATTAACATTAATTAACCTTAAGGTGGATCCTTTCACTATGTATATGTAGAACAAATCACCACAATGTACATTTTAAATATCCTGAATTTGGGGGTGCTTGGGTAACTCAGTTGGTTAAGCACCTGTCTTTGGCTCAGGTCATGATCCCGGGGTCCTGGGATCGAGCCTCACGTGGGGCTCCCGGCTCAGTGGAGAGTCTGCTTCTCCCTCTCCCTTTGCTCCGCCCCTGGCTCTTGTGCACTCGCTCTCTTAAATAAATAAATAAAACCTTTTTAAAAATATCTTGAATTTTATATGTCAATTATAGCTCAATAAAGCTGATTTTAAAAAAAATTTTAGGGGTGCCTGGGTGGCTCATTCAGTTAAGTGTCTGCCTTCAGCTCAGGTCATGATTCCTGGGTCCTGGGATCAAGTCCTGCGTCAGGCTCACTGCTCATCGGGGAGTCTGCTTCTCCCTCTACCTGTCACTCCCCCTGCTTTGTGTGCTCTCTCTCAGATGAATAAATAAAATCTTAAAAAAAAATTTTTTTTTAAGAAAATTTTTTTGGGTAAATACCTAGTAGTGCAATTGCTGGGTCATAGGATAGCTCTATTTTCAACTTTTTGAGGAATCTCCATACTGTTTTCCAGAGTGGCTGCACCAGCTTGCATTCCCACCAACAGTGTAGGAGGGTT